ATAGGGGAGGGACAGCGGGGTGGGGAGCTGGGGAGGGATAGCATGGGGAGAAATGCCAAATGTGGGTGAAGGGGAGGAAGGCAGCAAAACACACTGCCACGTGTGTACCTATGCAGCTATCTTGCATGTTCTGCACATGTACCCCAAAACCTAAAATGCAATAAAATAATAATAATAATAATAATAAAAGAATGAGTACTTTATCATCTCTTTTCCTTCATCTACTGGTTTTGAAATAATATACTGTTTTTATTCTTTTAGTAGTTATATTAGGAATTATCACATGCATATTTATCAAAACTGAAATTAGTAAACATCTTTATCCTGCCCCTAGATGACACAAGGATTATTTAAAATCTATTTATCCTCTCTGGATTATATTGTTGTTGTGCTGTGCATTTTAATTTTTTATACCTGCCAGGACATTATTGTCACTGTTATATACAATTGGTCTTTGTTTAGGTTTACCCATATGTTTTCCACTTTTTCTGCTCTTCTTTCCTTCTTGGATCTCAGATCTTGCCTCTGAGATCACTTTTCTTCTGTCTGATGTATGCATCCTTTAGAATTTCCTGTAATTAACTAGTGATGAATTCTCTGGCCGAGCGCGGTGGCTCACGCCTGTGATCCCAGCACTTTGAGAGGCCGAGGTGGGCAGATCACAAGGTCAGGAGTTTGAGACCATCCCGGCTAACACGGTGAAACCTGGTCTCCACTAAAAATACAAAAAATTAGCCGGATGTGGTGGTGGGCACCTGTAGTCCCAGCTACTCAGGAGGCTGAGGCAGGAGAATCATTTGAACCTGGGAGGCAGAGGTTGCAATGAGCCGAGATTATGCCACCGCACTCTATCCTAGGTGACAGAGTGAGACTCCATCTCAAAAAAAAAAAAAAAGGATGAATTCTGTCAGCTTTTGTTTATCTGAAAAAATGCCTCTTTTGCCTTCATTCTTGAAAGATATTTATGGTTTAGTGTAAATTCTAGATTGGCAGCTATTTTGTCAGCCCCTTTAAGATACCAGTCCATGTCACCCGACTTCTATTTTTGCTGTTAAGCAGCCAAGTGATAATACAACTGTTGCTCTTTTGAAAGTAATCTACTTTTTTTTTCCTCTGGTGTTTCTAATATCTTTCTCTTTGCCTGTTGTTTGCTGCAGTTTCTAGAATGTGTCTTGGATAGATTTCTTTTTATTTATCCTACTTGAGGTTGCTGGGCTTCTTTAATTCATTCTGAAATATTTGCAACCATTTCATCTTCAAACATGGCCTCTGCCCCTTTCTTGCTCTCTTTTCCTTATGTAACTCCAACTAAATGAATGATAAATTCTCTTAGTTTTTCCTTCATATATCTTAATTTCTCTTCTATATTTTCCATCCTTTTGTGTCTTTTCAAAGCATTCTGGATAATATCTTCTGAGCTGTCCTCTAGTTCTCTAATTCTCCCTTTAGCGCTGCTCAATTTTCTGTAAGATTCTGTACCCTCTCACATGCAAATATACTTACTTCCCAAGGGAGAAAAAAAGTTTAAAGTCCCATAAAGTCACTCACTTGAGCTTAAAGTCCAAGATCTAATATCTTAATTTCTATATCAGGTCTAGATGAGGTTGATTTTCACCTAGATACTTATGAATTTATAACAACAGTTATTTGTTCCACCCACCCCAATACATATATAATATACAATAATGGAACTGAGTCAGAATAACTCCAATAAACCCTCCCATTTGGAAAAGAGAAGGATAGAAAATGCAATTCTAAAATCTCACTGGGCAGATGATTACAAGGAGTTCCTACTCTGGAGAGGGGGAATATTTCTTGAATAGCTCTTGATTTCTCTAATACTAATGGGCTCCCCAACCCCCTGCTCACCATGGCTCTTGGTCTTCTCTCCAGCAGGAAGCCATCCTCCTTGGTGGTGGTGAAGAGGGCACTGGAAAATACGTCTTTCTTGGGAACTGAGCAGCTTCCTTCCTGTAGAAATTGGGGGCCTACAGTCATAGACAATTTTAGTCCAGGCTGAGGTTATTTTTGAAATACAGTTCTTTCTCAAAAACGTACTTGACTTTTTATAATTTTGTTTTAGTTAGCTGCCTGTAGTAATAGTGACACCTACAATTCTTTTCAAAACAATTCTCCCTCATTTAATTTAGTTCAGATACTTAAACCTATCAGGTTTGACGGCATCCTTATTCTCTTTTACTTGACCATTTTGTCAAATTTAAAGGATTTAATAAACACAACTTTAACTCATCTAGAGTTTTTTTAACAATGACTATATGGTCACATCCTCAAGGGATACTTGCTTTAGCAGCTAAGCATTTTTAATCAGACTTTAATATTCAAAGGCCTTCTCAGTTTTCTCTTTTACCATCTGGAAATGAGAATCACTTGTATCTTCCAGACCTGCAAGTACTGAATTTCTGTGCTCTCTTAATTTCCTTTCAAATTAAATAATTAAATTCCTTTTCTGCTTGCAAATAAGCCAATTCTTTTTTGAGCTTTTTTTTTTCTTGCTGTAAATTACCAAATGCAGCCAATAGTAACTAATTCACCCTACAAGCATTCCATTTTTCCCAAAAATCTTCCCAAAATGAAAACTATAGGCCCAGACTTTACCAGAAAGTTCTACAAACATTCGAGGGAGAAACAAGACCAATAATACAAAGCTTTCAGAGACTAGAAAAAGGGAGTACTTTCTCTAACTCATTTGATGAGGCTATTTTAACTTTGACATAAAAATCCACTAAGGAGGCCAGGTGTGGGAGGTTTATGGCCTTAATCCCAGCAGTTTGAGAGGCAAAGGTGGGTGAGTCACTTGAGGCCAGGAGTTCAAGACCAGCCTGTCCAACATGGCATGACCCTGTATCTACTGAAAATACAAAAATTAGCCGGGCTTGGTGGCATGCACCTGTAATCCCAGCTACTCGGGAGGCTGAAGCAGAAGAGTCACTTGAACCCAGAAGCAGACGTTGCAGTACACTGAGATTGCACCACTGCACTCTAGTCTGGTGACAGACAGAGACTCCATCTCAAAAAAAAAAAATCCACTAAGGACAGTAAGAAAAAGGGAACTTATAGGTAAGCTCACTAAAAAACATGAATACAAACTTCCTAAACAAAGTATTAGCACACAGAAAGCAGCAATATATAAAAAGGATAAAAAGGGATAATATTAAAAAAAAGATAAAACATAAGTTTGTCTAAATAATACAAAGTTGATTTAGGAGTAGAAAATCAATTAATACTATTACCTACAATAACAGAATAGAAGAAGAAATATGACCAACCTAAATAATGACAGAACGTGTATTTGATAAAAATAAACATTCAATATTTTTAAAAGACTCTTAATGAACTGGAAAAAAATTTTTCTTAGTCAGAAACACTATGAGTAAATGTTCACGCAAAATGCCTGATAACAAGAAATATCACAAAAGACTCTGAAAAAACCACAATCTTACACAAAGGCCATCACAATCTTATACACACAAAAATACTTCTCTGAGGACATTAAGTGTAATATTTACTATAAGTATGGTAAGATGTTTAAAGCTTGTCTTTAAAGAATGCCTGTTAATACCACTTTTATTCAACAATGTACTAGAGGGCCTAGCAGGGCCAGCCTAGCAATGCAAGTATATTTTTTTAAAAAAGAATAGGAATTATAAAGAGAAACAAAACTATCATTATTTACAGATGGTAGGATCACAAGTGTGAAAAATTCAAGAGTATCTAAGAATAAATTATTAAATTAATGAGAGATTTTCGCAAGATGACATAACATACATTTGCAAAATCATTTGCATTCCTATATGTTAGAATCAAAAAATGAGAAATTTAAAAATACCAACTATGCTAGTATTATATGAAGTATCCAAGAATTGTGAAAGTTGTCAGAATCGAATGAAGTCACATGTGTTAAAACCTCTGACAAAGAGAGCCAGGGAAGGCCATGAACAGAGGGTCCTCGTGCACAATGCCTGATAATGAAAACTATCATAAAAGACTGAAAAAAGCCACAACCTTGCACAAAGGCCATCACAATCTTCTACACACAAAAATACTTTTGTGAGGACCTCACCTGTGCAACCTTTGACTAGTAGCACTCTTGTTATTAATCCTCATAGTCAAGAACAATTATCTCAAAACAATTATGTAATCCTCTTTTTTGTAGAGACAGGCTTTTGCTATGTTGCCCAGGCTTGTTGTGAACTCTTGGCTCCAGGGATCCTCCCACATCAGCCTCCCAAAGCACTGATATTAGATAGACCTGAGCCACCACACCCAGCCTTGGCCTCTTCTTATAAGAGCACTAATCCCATTCATTCAGGAGGGCTTCACTCCCATGACCTAATTACTTTCCAAAGGTCCCACCTCCAAATACCATCACACTGGGAATAGGGTTTCAACACAGGAATTTTGAGAGAACACAAACATATACAGATGCGTGATAAATGATAGAGATGGCATGGTGAAGTAGTAGAGGCAGGAACTGTCTTTTCAGTAAACAGTAGTAGGACAATCAAATATCTGTGAGAACAAAATGAAGTTATATTTCTAGCGGGTACTAAACCAAAAAGTCTTTTTCAAATAGATTATACACCTAAATGTAAGAATAGAAATTTTAGAGAATTATATAGGAGGAAATCTCATGATCTCAGGATAAAGAAGAATTTCCCAAGAAGCAGAAAAGCACTAGATTAATGTTTGTTGAAGATAATGAACTGAGTCTAAAATGTCATTAAAGTAAAACGTTAGAGGTAAACATCCAAATGAACTTAAATTCCACAAAATAGAAAATAAGTCATGAAAATGGCAAGAGAGCGCCAGAAATAAAGCCAGTTATTGTCATTTACAGTAGTTGTCTCTATAAAGCTGCCATGAACACTGCACTAGCAAATACCGAAGCACTGATCCTAGAGGGAAATACAGGAGGAAGTTCTCGTAAGCCTCTGGTCAGAACATGTTCATCAACCAATCAGTACTTAACTTGTTTTATCAGTGTTTCTGCTTAACAATACTTTATTTAATATACTCATGGTAACAGCGCTATAACTTATGCCTGAACAAAGCTTATCTAACACATGTTTTCTCCTTAAGGCACATCACAGGCTTCAGTACTACATTTGGGGGCCATTCAAACAGTGAAATCACCAACAGAAAGCACAAGCATGTTAAAAAAAAAAAAAAAAAGCAACACTAAATCAACCACAAAAGGATGACTGTTTACAGTATGAGAACTGAAATAAGAAGACAATGTTGCCTTGTTCAACCTCACTTGGGAATGGGTCATTGGGTGACTCAAATTTTGAACTACCCTGCACACATCCACAAGTGACCACGCAAGTGCCGAGTATTGATTTTAGAGTTACAAAAAAATTTTAGTGAGTAGGTGAATTCATAAATATAGAATCCTTGAATGAGGTTCAACTGAATATATATACAGTAGTCTCCCAGTCTGGGGTTTTGCCTTCCATGATTTCAGTTACCTGGGATCAACCATGGTGCAAAAATATTAAATAGAAAAATCTAAGAAATATAAAATTTGTAAGTTTTAAATTGTCATTCCAAGGAGCATAATGAAATTTCTCATCATTCTGCTCCATCCTGACTAGGATAAATCATCTCTTTTATATCATGCTGCATACACAACCCATCCATTGCTGTCCAGGAAAAAAACACTGTGGACATAGGGTTCAGTACTATCCGTAATTTCAGATATTCAGTGGGGATCTTGGGAGATATCCCTCAAGGATAAGTGGGGACTACTGTATTCAGTCCTGTGAGACCTGGACTGTGAGATAAGGCACATTTCTAGTTAAGTCAGCAAAGGAATCAGGTTCCTCAGAGGATGGATGCTCTGAATGAAATGGGCAAGAAGGTATTGGAGGGGTTCAGTGCCTGAACGGGCTTACATTTTGAGGCATAGCCAAAGATTACAGGGATAAAAGAACTCTATACAATTAACAGACGCCAACATTCCAAATGAAATCCTACTAAAAGTTATTCCCAAGGTTTTTATGCTTTGACGTATTTGTCTGCCATGGCATCATAGGATACTGATTAGGTCTGGATATGAGGCTGTATCAGGCATGTTCAAACATCAGTGTACCACAGAATGTTACTTCCTTAAGATAATTCCTAATATTTAACCACTAAGGTCATTGTTTATAATGTGGTATTTACAATGGGACTGGAGAATTAGAAACAATCTATATCCATCAGTGGGAAACTTGTTAAACTATGTTCTATCTAAAAAATGGATTTTTATTATAAAAGCAGTAGCATTTTTTAAATATCTCCCAATTTATGTTGCCAGTTCCCATCCCTACCTCTACCTTACCCCTTTAAACTTAACCAGCCATCATCGAAGAGCGTTAAGAGAAGGTGGGGTCCTATAATAATATAGACATAAGAGTAAGCATTGTCAAAAATAAAATATTTATTTTAGCTGCCATTTAATAATCAAGCTAGCTACCACCTCACAAAGTTCTTCCTGTAGGGTCAAGAAGATATCCTGCTTCCTATTAAAACTTCTCCCTAAAGCTAACATTGGGAAGGACCTAATAGATGTGGGGAAGAGGAGAGATATGACAGAAAATTGGAGAGGTAGATATCATGTAAGACTTCATAAGGAATAGTAGATAATTTGAATTTTTGCTACAACCTCAATTAGATACTGTCAACAAGCTTTAGGTAAGGAAAAAGCAACATTATCTCATTTATATATTTTTTCAAAATCCATTCTGATGCAGCGTGGAAAAATAACTAGAAGGAGGTAAAAGAAAACAGAGAGAGACAAGTAAACTACACTATTGCTTTAGTTCAGGTGAGAAATGATGTGGCTTAATCTAGGATGACTAGAATGGCAATGGAGTTTGAGAAAGAATAAATTTAAGACACATTTTAAAGTGGATAATCCTTTAAAATGCCAAAATGAGGTATTACAGTGGCAATATTATTTTTCTCCTCATGGTATTTCCCAAGTTTTTGATAAACAATGGTACATCTAAAATTTTTAAAATATCACTTATTTTAAAATAATTAAACTCTAAAGCAAACAAATAAGATAATTTTAAGCAAATCCAGGCCTAATATTTGCAAGGTCCACAGCCAGAATATAAATGAAAGCCCACAGTATGTCTCTAAAAATGTAAACGTTATAAAACCAACTGTTAAAAAAAGTTTGATTCATGTGCCTTGACAAAAATTTTAAAATATGTATAAAAATATAATTTTGTTTTTGAGACAGTATCTCACTGTCGCCCAGGTGGGAGTGCAGTGGTACAATCCCGGCTCACTGCAGCCTTGAACTCCTGGGCTCACCGAATCCTCCCACCTCAGCTTCCTGAGTAGCTGGGAATACAGGCACATGCCAATCATGCCTGGCTAAGTTTTGTTTGTTTCTTTTTTGTAGAGACAGAATTTTGTTATACTGCTCATGGTGAACTCCTGGCCTCAAGCCATCCTCCTACTTCAGTCTCCCAAAGTGCTGGGATTATAGGTGTAAGCCACCATGCCTGGCCTAAAGTTATGATTTGTATGTAACTAAAAGTTGACAGAATATCAAAGACAACTGAATTTAAGCATTATTGCACAGGTCTGGATGTAATGTTGATGAGCTGGCAGTGTCTAAATAAATAATAAGATAAAGACATATATAATTTTTAAATTACAATATAGTGCATACAATTTATCTACTTTAATTTTATCAAATAATCATGTTATAAGCTTTTCTTATAATTTGTGTCATATTATCAGTAAGTATCCAAAGGATTAAAAATAAATTCAATTTATTTAGAGCATAAAAAATGTTTAATAATAATATATTGGATGCTTGAAAATTGCTAAGACAATAGATTTTAAAAGTTCTCATCACAAAAAGATGATAAGGATGTAATGTGAAGGGTATGTTAATTAGCTTGATTTAATCATTCCACATGTATACATATATCAAAACATCATAGTGTACACTATAAATACATATAATTTTCACATCAATTACAAAATAAACATTGATATTAAAAAAAAAGTGTAGGCCAGGCGCAATGGCTCATGTCTGTAATCTCATCACTTTGAGAGGCCGAGGCAGGTGGATCACGAGATCAAGAGATAGAGATCATCCTGGTCAACATGGTGAAACCCCGTCTCTTCTAAAAATACAAAAATGAGCTGGGCGTGGTGGTGTGCACCTGTAGTCACAGCTACTCAGGAGGCTGAGGCAGGAGAATTGCCTGAACCCAGGAGGCGGAAGTTGCGGTGAGCCGAGATCGCGCCATTGCACTCCAGCCTGGTGACAGCATAAGACTCTGTCTCAAAAAAAAAAGAAAAAGTGTATAAAATCTAAAGGTCATGGGCCAGGCATGGTGGCTCACGCCTGTAATCCCAGCACTTTGGGAGGATAAGGCAGGTGGATCGCCTGAGGTCAGCAGTTCAAGACTGGCCTTACATGGTGAAACCCTGCCTCTACTAAAAATACAAGATTGCCTGTAATCCCAGCTACTCGGGAGGCTGAGGTAGGAGAATTGCCTGGACCCAGGAGGCGGAGATTGCGGTGAGCCGAGGTCGCGCCATTGGGTAGCAAGAGCGAAACTCCGTCTCAAAAAAAAAAAAAAAAAAATACAAGATTAGCTGGGCGTGGTGGCATATGCCTGTAATCTCAGCTACTCAGGAGGCTGAGGCAGGAGAATCGCTTGAACTTGGGAAGTGGAGGTTGAGGTGAGCTGAGACTGTGCCATTGCACTGTATGTAGCCTAGGCAACAAGAGCAAAACTCCGTCTCAAAAACAAAAATCTAAAGATCATCAAAGTCTACATTAAATGTGAAAAATTAAAAATTAAAAGTTTCATATTGGTTTTCAAATGTTATGTTCTTTTTTCTGAGTCAGTCTCAATCTGTTGCTCACGCCAGAGTGCAGTAATCTCAGCTCACTGCAACATCTGCCTCCCAGGTTCAAGCAATTCTCATGCCTCAGCCTCCCAAGTAGCTGGGACTATAGGCAGCACCACCAAACACCAGCTAAATACAAAAATTTGTATTTTTTGTAGTGACAAGGTTTTGCCATGTTGGTCAGGCTGATCTTGAACTCCTGGGCTCAAGACAGCCACCCTGCTCAGCCTCCCAAAGTGCTACGATAACAGGCATGAGCTTCTGTGCCTGGTTCTTTTTTTTTTTTTTTTTTTTTTAAAGATTGATGTATTTTTTATTCCTTTTTTGAGTTCCAACCCCAAAAATATTCCAGAAAAAGATAGGGGGAGGCTGGATTGGTTCTTCTTCAATGGGCTTTTGCTGCCAAGGAGGACAGTGGACTTGCCCCATATCCAGGTTACCCTCAGCCCGCTTCTCCCCTGCTTAGCCCAGTGGGAAGACAGTAGGGGTGGTGGGGCCAGCTGGAGGAAGGGGCCAGGGCAGTGGTGCTTTCAGGTAAGAAGTTAGGCTGAGGCTAGGGGGACGGGGCAGGAACTGCCCATGTGCAGTTACCATTGCTCAGTTACAGAGCCTCAAAGCTTGGCCAGGGCTGAAGGTACCACATGGGTATGGGTAAGGCAGGCTAAGTCGGATGCCTGCAGCCAAGGAGCAGGGGAATGGCAGGGCTCAGGGCTGGCCCTCTCTCCATAACTGGTGATCTGCCGAGGTCATCTGTAGCCTGTCATGCCAGCCTGGGAGGCCCCTCTGTTGCTGCCCATCTGAAGGCCAATGACATACTTTCCCTCCTGCAGCTGGCTCTCTGTGAATTCCCTCTTATGCTCCTGCACTTTCTTCATAAACCAGTTGGGATCTCCATGGTAGTACCCATCATTCTTGGTCATTGCCAAGCTGCCCAAAGCCATCAGGGTCCTCTGCACTGTTGCCATGTCTTTGCCTTCAAAGACATCAACAGTCTAGAATAAGTCTTGGTGACCCCATAGTCCTCAGCTGCCTTCAGGAACTGAGCCACCTGCTCCATCTGCTTGAACACCATGGAGGGCAGGATCTCAGGCACCTTCACTGGCCTGGAGCCATCAGGGTACAGGCTGTTCACTAGCTTGCTCAGAATCACGCCATTCTTTAGCCAGATCTGGAAGCCCAGGTGCCCACAGTCTGGGAAGCCCACATCAGGGCCACACTGCACTATGATCCACTCCACCAGCCATTCCTCCAGCTCCTCATTGTACGTCTTCTCAATTTGGACTGTACTTCGCACCTCATGCCATAAGAAGGACCCTTGTTGGCCATGTCTGGGGAGAGAGGGCTTCCTCGGGGCTCACAGGAAGTGAAGACTGGTGTCTGGGCTTAGACAGACCCTTTTTTTTTAAGAGATGGGGTCTCGCTCTGTTGCCCAAGCTGGGCTTAAATTCCCGGGCTCAAGTGATCCTTTCACCTAGCCTCCTGAGTAGCAAGGACTACAGATATGTGCCACTGTGCCCAGCTATCATACATTATCTTTTTTCTAAAATATTCTAATATAGAATTGTCTATAAAAATTTAAATACAAAATACAAATTATAACTATTATCAAATTTTAAGTAAACTTACTATAATAAAGTTTAAACTTTAATGTAATTTTTTTAAAAATGAATTAAGTCCTATTGTGTATTTTTACAAAAACAGAACTACTCACAATCCTAGAGTTCAAGGCTCATCTACTGCCAATGTCCACAATATCAGGACCTTCATATATAAAATTTAAGAGTAATATAAATTGTTTAATATTGCAAAATATTCCTCAACTGCCATGAGCCACTGTTAACAAATATCATCCTAATTTATATCTCCAGAACCACATACTGGAATACAAAGAGAAACAAGAAAATAGATGCTCCACAGCCCTGCAAAATGATACTTCAATGTGCAAGATTCTACTGCATTTGTGCTAATTAATTTGTCTTTTCCCTCACCTAAGAATTTCTGTCATTCAAATCCTCCCTATACTCCAAAGCAGCGTTCATAACCAGCATCAACAGCCCATAACCTTCATGACGTTCACACAGAATCACTTTTTGTTTCAATGACACAGGGCAAGAGATGAAGGGAAGGGTTAGCTGGAGCCTGAATGGTGTTAGTCACTACAGTGGACATTTGGATTACAAATTGTACTATGCCACTTAGTGCTGGATCCTAAATGACACTTATATTTTGAACATTTGTGATACAAGATCCAAAGCAGGGGGCCCTTTGCCCAGGTCTTAAGGTGATACTCTAAACTTTAGTGAGTACTTCATCCAGGATCTACTGAAATCAAGAAAAAAGAAAAAACAATTCAAGCAGATTGATTAACAGCTTTTCTTTTTAAAATGCATATAATGAGAGAGCTGTTAACAAAGTCAAAATAATTCTTGACAGAAGTAAAGATGGCTGTTGTGGGGGGGAGAAAAACAACCGGGAAACCTTTCTCTACCAAACTTCTGCAATAATTGATTAATTAGAACACGGATGACTGTGACTTTGAGTTCAGAACCTACTACTTGCAGTTTTCGATCTTAACTTTCACTAACATGGTAAAAACGTGAGTTCAGAAAATCATCTCATGTTTTAATTCAAGCTTATAAAGGTATATCAGATTAAAGGCAATAAAACATATTTTATAACTAAAAATAAAACATACAATATAATGAGAGAGCAGAAATCAATGCCACAAGGGCTCTGAAGAGATAAGAAAAATCAGATGCTCAGTTCTTTCTTTGGATACTTTCATCAACCAAACAACCTGCTGTATAAAATTTTTGGCTCATAAATTAACTTTTGCAATTAAAGCAATGAATTTTAACTTGAGGCAAACAAAACCCTATTGCTCACTAAGTTTTATCACCAACGATTACAGGACAGAGAGATCTATATGTCCAACATTGTATGCTTAAAAAGAAAGAAAACTTGCTTTTCAATTATGAAAGTAATATATGTTCATTTTTTAAAACTTGATAAACTACAAAAATATAAAACATTATAAAGTATAAAAGTTACCCATAATCCTAACCCTAAACTATTAACCTTGTTATATTTCCCTTTTTGCTTTGCATATTTGAGATCATACTGTGATCCATGATTTTATACCATCCATTTTTCATTTAACTTTACACCATAAGCATTTCTCATATCATTTTATTATTCCTAAATATCATTTGCAAAGGCTGCATAAGTCATATGCAGACTTCGAGTATACTCTAATTTACTTAACCATTCCCCTAATGTTGGAGGTTTAGATTGATCTTTGTTTTTTTACTACTATAAATAACACTGTGAAGAATATCTTTATTTATATATCTTTATCTGCATTTCCTAATATTTCCTTAAGGTAGAACTAGACTGTAGAGACCAAGGAAATAAGTATTTTTAAAATATCTTGAATGTTTATTCCCAATGTTTTCTAATAAGGTATTCTACATTATATGTCCATCAATAATGTATAAAGTGCCCTTTTCACCCTCCGTTATCAGGGTATAGGATATTCGTGACTTTTTTCCAGTATTTGATTATCTGCTAAATGAAAATGATAATTCATTGCTGTTTTGTTTTCTATTTCTCTGACTACTAGTGAAACAAGACCTCTTTTTGCAAATATTTATTAGTCTTTATTTGCTCTTCTGTTAATTGTCCATACATACTAATAGATACTATCAGTATATTTCTTTTTTATTGATATATATGCTTCATAAAAAATATCTTTTGCATCATGTCTTGTAATTATTTCCATTTTTGTGTCTTAACTTAGATATTGATTTTTTTCAAGAAAGTTTAAAAGTTTTTAAATAGGCATCTTAACTTTTCCTCTTGTATTTTCTTCTTTTGAGTTTAAGCTTATTCATTTATTCATTCATTCAACAAATATTCACCGAAGACTTGCTATGTGCCAGAAACTATACAGGAACACTAAAGATACAGCAGTAAAGGAGACATATTTCTTGCCTTCAAAGAGTTTCTATTTGGCCAGGTAGGGTGGCTCACACCTGTAATCCCAGTGCCTCAGGAGGCCAATTCAGGAGAATTGCTTAAGACCAAGAGTTTCAGATTATCCTGGACAACATGGCAAGATCCTCTCTCTACAAATAAAAATTTAAAAATTAAATGGGCAAGGTGGTGCATGCCAGTAGTCTCAGCTATTCAGAAGGCAGAGGCAGGAGGATCACTTGACCCCAAAAGTTTGAGGCTGCAGTGAGCTATGATCACACCATTACACTCCAGCCTGGACAACAGAGCAAGACCTGGTCCCCCACCTACCCCCCCAAAAAAAGAATTTATATTTGGTAAGAAAAGCAATAAATCAGTAAGCTAATAGACTTTTTAAAAAGCATAATCATAGATTGTTGTAACTGTAACTAAGGAAATAAAATAGGGTGCTAAAACAGAATAAAGCGGCGAGGGTGGTTAATTTAGACAAGGTGGTCAAAGACCAGCTCCTTGATAAGGTTTTATTTAAGTTAGAAGAAGTTTCAAAAATCCCTTTCCATTTAAAGATCATATTTTTTCTACATTTTCTTTTTGAGTCTCGCTCTGTCACCCAGGCTGGAGTGCAGTGGCGTGATCTCAGCTCACTGCAACCTTCACCTGCCGGGTTCAAGCGATTCTCCTGCCTCAGCCTCCCAAGTGGCTGGGATTACAGGCGCATGCCACCATATCTGGCTAATTTTTGTATTTTTAGTAGAGATGGAGTTTCATCCTGCTGGCCAGGTTGGTCTAGAACTTGGGACCTCAGGTGATTTGTTCACCTTGGCCTCCCAAAATGCTGGGATTACAGGCATGAGCCACCCATTTTCTATATTGTCTTATATTGTCTATTAAAATTCTTTTAGTCTATTTTCTCAAATTCTTTCACCTGGAATTTATTCTAGTGTATATTATGAAACTAAATTAATATTTTTTCTAACAGCTAGTTAACTATTCTAGCAATATTTACTTAATAATTCTTTCCTTCCCTAGAAATCTTTACTTCTGGCCAGGAACAGTGGCTCATGCCTGTAATCCCAGCATTTTGGGAGGCCGAGGTAGGCAGATCATTTGAGGCCAGGAGTTTGAGGCCAGCCTGGGCAGTATGGCAAAACCCCATCTCTACAAAAAATACAAAAATTAGCCAGGTGTGGTGGAACATGCCTGTAGTCACAGCTACTCAGGAGGCTAAGGCAGGAGAATTGCTTGAACCGGGGAGGCAAGAGGGTACAGTGACTTGAGATCACCCCACTGCACTCCAGCCTGGGCGACAGAGTGAGACTCTGTCTCAAAAACAAACAAACAGTAATCCTTATTGCTTTCACTATCATATGTTAACATATCATATATATCAGTGTCTATTTCTGTCTATTCCATTCCTTGATCTGCCTGCTAATTCTTGGCCCAGGATTATATTGATTTAATTATTTACACTTTAAAATATTTTAAAATATTTGGTGTTGTTACTCATGCTTTTCATTTTAATTATTCCATTTTTCAAAGCTATTTTCACTTATAAACCTTTTATAAGTAATTTTTTTTTGAGATGGAGTCTTGTGTAAGAAAAAAATGGTTGGGTCAAATGTAATCCTCAAGTTTTAAAAGATAGCAAACACTTACGCAATAGACAGATATGAAATTTGATTTTTTGGAATGGATGAATAGCTGAATAACTTAAGGAGGTTTGCCTGATGTTGAATAGCCAGGCCAATTACACTTTTTAATAACACTATAAGAGATTAGGCACTTGTTTCTTGATGCTAAGTGTGGTTACTTAATGTAGTACTTTGTTCTTAGGGTAAGCTCTAAGATGTACCTTTCAGAGATTCTAGTCTATTTGTTTTCATGTAACACAAATGATTAATTTGACTGATTTTTTAAAAAAATGAAATGACCAAATAAACTAGAAATATTGCCTTGTATATGCTTTAGGAAGTGGAAGGCTTAAATTTGCCTTGAAATTCTCCTTCAGCCATTATCTGTGAACCCTGGGTCTCGTGAGTCATCCAGGCCTTAAACTTTCTTTTTGAATATTATTATTTATAAATTTTGCTATTTCTCCTATTACTACATGGTATCTGTTAAAGCAAACTAAATATAGCCTGAGAAGGACTCCATGCTTCTACATCTGAGTCCTTGTGGATGAACTGTAACCTAGCTTAATAGGCAGACAAGGTTGAAACCTAATTTAGGAATATGTGCCTGTAGCAATAGCTGAGTCTTGGCCAATTTCAGAGGCCATACTTCAACCACTCATAGACTGCTCAGTATTCAAACTGTGTTCAAAGAAGGTAAACGTCAACCTGTAACCAATCCAGCTGTTTCTGTACCTCACCTCCAATTTCTATACATCACTTTTTTTTTAATCTATTAATTTGTTCTGACCATGAGGCATCCCTGGAGTCTTTCAGAATCTGCTGTGATTTTAGGGGCTGCCCGATTCACAAATCTTTCACTGCTCAATTAAACTCCTTCAAATTGAATTTGGCTGAAGTTTTTCTTTTAACACATCTGACCAACAGATCAGTTCCTTGGATCCTCCCTCCTCAGCCCCCCGAGTAGCTAGGTCTATAGGTACACACCACCACACTCAGTTCATCTGTGGTATCCGACAGACCTAAGTATTCCTAAGGTGATTTATTCCCAATAAGAAACTACTAAGCCTTAGATCTCAGAGACAATGTGAGAATAGGCCACCATAACTTCAAACTTTCATTCCTATTGCTCAGTTCCCTTTGTCAATGCTATTTATGTTGTTTTCCTCAAACTCCTAAAGAATAAACCAAGATGAGGAGAGTTTTTTCCCTCTTTGCTGTCTCTAAATGCGTTCTCTTTGGGCCAGAAATCTCAGCACTTTGAAAGGCAGGGAGTTCTTCAAGCCTGTTGCACATCCTGGTATGAATAATTCCACTGAATATAACCACCCTAAACTATGCTGAGCCACAGAACCAGAGCCTGCCTTTCCTCTGGAAGTCAGAAGAAGAAGGGATCTGGAGGAAGGAAGAATTGGAGGAATGCTTTTTAAATGAAGTTATTCCTGGGTAATGGCTCACTAGACACTGCCTTCCTTGTCTTGATCTCCAAAATCTGAACAACATACCCAGAAACTGCCTGTGGCTTCAACCCCAGAGAGTTGAAGGCCCTAATCCACTCATGAGGGCAGAGCCCCCATGGCCTAGTTGTTACCTCCTAAAGGCCCTACCTCTTAATACTGTTGCATTGGGGATTAAGTTTCAACATGAATTTTGGAGGGAACACAAACATTCAAACAAACCATAACAGAACCCAACTTCAAAGACAGTATTCCAGCCTCTACAGCACAATCCCTATCCTCATGACATTTTAAAGGCCATTGAAGCAAGTGGGTGCATACTCAGATGACCCTAAAAAAAAATACAGAAGTTGATAGGGATAGAAACACATATTTGGCTGCTTCTATAGTTAACAAAATGCTGTTACATTCCTTGCCTCCCTAGCTCTAAAGACTATACTAGCAGGACAAAGAAAGTACCTGAGATGAGGGGAGGGTAAAGGTTCACAGAGATCCCCTGGATATTTGATTTGCTCTATGTCCTCTCAGGGGCTTTGGTACCCCTAGAGAATTATCCATATTGTTAAGAACTTGTGTTAATATTCTGGGTTCTGTTTCTTTTTTTAAGCTCTTAAGAGCATGCTCAAGTCATTCTTGTGTTTCCATCAAATACAAACACAGATCAGGGAAGACAAAACCCTACTAATTTCTCATTGGAATCCTCAGAACAAAGGGCCTCCCAAGGACTAATGGCCACAATATCCATCCATAACACAAGCAAGCTTAGAAAATCTCTTCTTACAATCCTGACATAATGGAAGTTTCCCTAAACCAGCCAGCATCTGATACAACCAGGACAAAGAACAACAACTGCATTTTTTTGAGTCCTGTCAACCTCTTTCTCTAGCTTTATTCCTATTCCTCACAGCCTATACTGTGGTCTTAATTGTGGGCCTTTTTGGAAACCTCTCTCTCATCATCATCATCTTTAAGAAGCAGAGAAAAGCTCAGAATGTCACCAGCATACTGATTGCCAACCTCTCCCTCTCTGATATCTAGATGTGTGTCATGTGCATCCCCTTTACTGTCATCTACACTCTGATGAACCACGGGATATTTGGGGGTACCATGTGCAAACTCAAATCCCATGTGCAGAGTGTCTCCATCTCTGTGTCCATATTCTCATTTGTATTAATTGCCATGGAAAGATACCAGCTACTTGTGAACCCCCATGGCTGGAAGCCCAGTGTGACTCAAGCCTACTGGAGCATCACACTGATTTGGCTGTTTTCCCTTCTGCTGTCTATTCCCTTCTTCCTGTCCTACCACCTCACTGATGAGCCTTTCTGCAACCTCTCTCTCCCCCACTGACCTCTACACCCACCGGGTGGCCTGTGTAGAGAATTGGCCCTCCAGAAAGAACCAGCTGCTCTTCACCACCTCCCTGCTTATGATGTAGTATTTTGTTCCTCTGGGCTTCATCCTCATCTGCTACTTGAAGATAATTATTATCTGCCTCCACAGGAGAAATGCAAAGGTAGACAAGAAGAGGGGAAATGAGAGCCTGCTCAGTGAGAACAAGAGGATCAACACAATGTTGATTTCCATCGTGGTGACCTTTGGAGCCTGCTGGCTGCCCTGAATATCTTCAATGTCATCTTTGACTGATATCATGAGGTGCTGATGAGCTGCCACCATGACCTGGTATTTGTAGTTTGCCATGTGGTTGCTATGGTTTCCACATGTATAAACCCTCTCTTTTATGGCTTTCTCAACAAAAATTTCCAAAAGGACCTGCTAGTGCTTATTCACCACTGCTGGTGCTTCACACCTTGGGAAAGACATGAAAATATTGCCATCTCCACTATGCAAACAGACTGTAAGGGGTCTTTAAAATTGGTTCATATACCAATAGGTATATGAACACTGATAATACTTAATGCTAAAGTCCTTCTTGAATGGGAGCTGGAGAGGTAATGGTTGGGGATAAGGCAAGATGCAGAAAGAAGAAACTCCAAGCAGGGTATACCAGGGCCTTCCTCCTGTCTACTTCTTTTCTTAGTAACCCCTCACCTGCCTCCCCCCACCTGCCTCCCCCACCACCTGCCTCCCCCCACCTGCCTCCCTGTCACCTGTCACCCTCCTCCCATCCTCCCATCTTCCTTTCCATTTTCCCACTCATCCTCCCTTCCATCTTCCCCCCCACCATCTTCACCTGCTCTCTTGCCACCTGTTCTCCTTTCTACCCACAGATTTTTTTCCTCCTGTCCTACCTCCCTCCTCCCCCAACTCTGCCTTCCCAGCCCTCCCCATCTCCTCCTCCCCTGTCTGTCTCCTTGCCCTCCCTTCCCCCTTCTCCCTCCCCTCCCCTCCATTGCCCCCCTCCCCTGACCCCTCCCTCTCCTCCCTCCCCTCCCCGACACTCTCCCTCATCCTCTGTTTCTCTCTTTCCAGCCCCCACTTCTGCTCTGTGCATTTGTCCTTCCTATCTGCATGTCCATCCTCCCGCCTTCCCCATGCCTGGCAGCATAGCTGTGGCAGTCACCTCTCAGAGTGCTCTGGCCCTGCCTGGTAGAATGAAGACAGTGGAGCCCCTGGCCCCTCAGTTCCTCCTTGGGGCCCCTCCCCTGGAGAAGCCTCACACCTCAGCTGTCTTATTCATTATTCTCAGAAATGAAAGGCAGGAAGCCACCTTGGTGCCTGTCCCCGAGGGTGGCTAAACCATCCATGGCTAAACCACCATGGCTGGGGGAGGGAACATGAGTGATCAGGGCTCCTGGCCTGAAGCCAGGCAGCACCATCACTGACTGTGTGAGCACAGGCAAGATGCTTTCTTTTCCCTGACTTGTGTGACTCAGTTTCCTCATCTGCCACCATCTCTTATGGTTCTTCTGAGGTTCAGATGAGGAACCAGTTGGCACCATGCCTGGCGCAGAGGCCCTCCATGGTGGGAGCTCTGATTACCTTCATTTGATGATGATGATGATGTGGTTTCGCCCTCAAGTCTCTGTGCAAACCTCTCTTTGGGGTTATTTGTCCACAGTGGCTTCCCCAAAGGGCGGAGGGGTCAAGTGAGATCTTGGCACCCATGATAGTTCACTCTGGGGTCGGGGGAAGAAGCCAGCCCCTTCCCACCCACTGGTCTCCACAGGTCAACTGCAGCAGAGACATCTCATCCACCCAGCTGTTAGGACTCTGCTGAGGGGACATCACGACACAGCCTCTCGAGATACAGGGTCTCTGTCCTGGGCAAAATGGTTGTGGTACACAGTGGGCTCCTTCAGGGAGGCTGGCACAGCCTGATCACAGGGGCTGCCTGTGGTGTGGCCCGGGGCTGAGGTCACTGCCAGGAGAAACTCACATGGTCTCCCTCCTCCAAGACCCCCATATCCCTGGTGACATACACATGCACTCCCAGCCCTCAGGGGCGTCAGCTCAACCTAACAATCTTTGAGTGGTCCCATGTGCAAACACAGGTAGACATCAACCAGGACCCGAGGCTTGCAAGCCCACCTCTGTCATGGGTAACTGAGCTGGTGGTGGGCGTGTCCTGGCCTCATGAGACAAGTGGACGGTGGAGCATGGCTGGGGCATGGCTCAGCTCAGGTGGCTTCACGCTCACTCTGCCGAGGGTGCCAGCAGGAAGCACAATGCCTTTCTCCTTGTCCTGTCTCCCAGCACTGCCATCTAAGTGGCAGGGGCTTGGCCATTTCTATTTTGTTTGTGGTAGTATCCCCAGGTTTAAGACAGAGCCTGGCACGTAGCAGGTGTTCAGTCCACATTGTTGACTCATGGAGTAGCAGTCCCTGCCTCATAAAACCCTGTGACATAAAACTATGATAAACCTCACCGCCTGCTGCATGTTCAGGTAATGATCACAGCTGGTGCTGCTGTTGCCACTGTTTCTTTTCATTCATTCATTCATTCGTTCATTCATTGAGACAGAGACTTGCTCAGCTGCCCAGGCTGGAGTGCAATGGCATGACCTCAGCTTACTGTAACCTCTGCCTCCCAAGTTCAAGCAATTCTCCTGCCTCAGCCTCCTGAATAGCTGGGATTACAGGCAAGCACCACCATGCCCGGCTAATTTTTGTATTTTTAGTAGAGATGGGGTTTCACCATGTTGGTCAGGCTGGTCTTGAACTCCTGACCTCGTGATCCACCCGCCTCAGACTCCCAAAGTGCTGGGATTACAGGTGTGAGCCACCACACCCGGCCCTGATTTGCATTTCTTAGAGGTCAGCTGGGGCAAGGGCAGGCGAGGAGGCTGGGAGGTGACAGCTGCTGCTGCATTCCCGGCGCAGGGGATGGTGAGAAGAGGAAGCTGCCACCCCTGTACCTGCCTGACACCCAGATTCTCTCATCCCAGGCCCTCTTGGTCTCCGGGGAGCACATCCCGGGCCGGGGTGGGCTCCTGCTGCATTCCAGCTGCCAGCTGGGCCTCGCCCCAGCCCCAGACCACGGCCTATACCTCAGCCTGACCCTCCGAAACCACAGCAGGCCTCATTTGCCTGACTTCTCCGGGGAGCTGGAGGTGGGTGGCCAGGACGGGGCTGACAGTCCCTGGGGAAGATGCCCCCACTTCCCCTTAGCCAGCAGGTCCTCACTGCCCGGGCGGCCCCGCCATCTAGTGGCCAACTGAGGAACTGCAGACCAGCACCCTGGATGGGGCCAGAGCGTCACTCTGGGTTGGGGGAACATCTGCTGAACCCCAGGCCTGGCCCGGGCGCGAGACAAAGCAGCTCCTCCACCGCCCCAACACCTAGCCCCTCCTATAACAGAGAGGTAGCGGCTGGGCTGCCCAAGTTTCAATCTGAGCCCAGCTGCCTCCTGGCACCTGAGTTTCCTCCCGTGTAAAATGATATAATCATTGCACTGGGGGTTATATCTCCCATGGGGTTAATATTGCAAAGATTAAATATGTTTAGGTCGCTTAGAGCAGTGACTGATGGAAAACAGTCACTACATATTTGCTGTCATTAGCCATTATTGGCCCCATCTCCTCCCCCTTCCTGCCTCCAGCAGCCCTGGGAAATAAGAAGGGGCAGAGTCGGCCTCCAATGCCTACTCTGCCCTGACCTGGCCAGGTGATCCCAACAAGGAACCTCTCTGAACATGCTTCCTCATCTTGGTTCAGGTATTTCACAGGGTAGTTTTTGGAGGTCTGCATACCAGTTCCCACTGCCTGCATAGCCAAGGCACATGACATAGCAGGTGTTCTCTTGGTGTTTCCATTCACTTCTTCTGTCTTCCTGGCTGGGTGAACTTGACCTTGTGACTGTCCTTTGCTGAGCCTCCCTGTTCCCCTCTGTCAAATGGGAACATCTACCATCTCCCTTGCAGAATCGTTAGAAGGAAAACAGACATTTGTACAACATCTGCATATAGTAGGTGCTTGTGAGAAGGGAATTCCCTCCCTTCCTGGCATCTGGAGCTGGATGAGGATGGCATTTGTGGGTTGAGAATGAGCCATGGCCATTTCAAAGGAGCTTCTCCTTCCAAGGTTCTTGTTCTCCAGGACTTATGGTCACTTCCCCATTTCCCAGCCAGGCTCCTGGCTGCTCCCGGATCTGTAAACCCCATGCCCAATAGAACCGGATGCCTGGAAATGAGCCTGTGGCAGACACTCAGCAAGTGGCTGGTCCTCTTGCTTCTCTGTCCTTGATTTATTTGGGACAGCTGTGCTGGCTCCTTCTCACTTGCTCCATTCTGGGGTC